GTTCACCATTGGAAATTGTTTAATCAAAGGAGACGTCGGGCCCATTGTGACGTCACTCTGTCCACCAGAGTAGTGAACGAATGGAACAATCTACCTGTGTATGTCGTTGATGCGCAGTCGGAGAAAGGTTTCAAGCATCGATCGGATTCTTACCTGCTGAGTAAACTCAGCTCTTGTTGCTTCTTGTGTCAATGCAGCGGTTCCATTGGTACCGACTTGCAATGTCCACCTTGATTCCTGTGACGCACGGGAGGCGATGGAGCTGACAAAGTATTTTTCCTTCTGTTCTCTACATTCCAATGATCCGATCAACCAACCTCCGAATGTACGCCGATACGAACAACAGGAATTGCACCTCCAACTGCTCCCTCACAACCGTACAGGAACCTTCGTTTTCCAACATGGTGATTACATGTTCCACCTCACTAACTTGCTCCGCCTGACTCCGATGTTTCAGATGCTAGAAAACACATCTGGTAATACGGAGGCCGTATTTCGTTAACGCGAACTTCCAGATTTCACGTGTCTGACGAAGGGACTTGATCAACTTTAATACCACCGCCTCCTGTACCGCATTGAGTCACCGATTAGACGGATAAAGCCAAGGTTTCCCCAACTGAAACGCAAGCGAATGCCTCAAGCAAGCGCGCCCCATTTCATTATAACTGCGTTTCAGTACCACGGAACATCGGGCACTGCAGTTGTAACGCTTGTACCTAAAAGATTCAGCAGTCACCTATCTGTCTCTTTTTCACGTGCTTACGCTTGCTATGTACACCTCGATATTGAATGAATCAATAACGACAACCATCAGGGAGCTCGTTTGCAGTTCTTTGCTTATGACCCGCCGCAGTAACCACCGTGCATCTACAATGCGGTCTTGCAGTTTCTCTTTGTAACAGCAACCAATCGCTTTGGAACTCCTCAATTGCCTCGTTACCACTGTACTGTGAGTTCTACGCGGTAACTCGGTTTTTTAGGCTGCGACGTAGTCGCAGCACCCTTACCCTGCAAAACCTAGTGCGCAGAAAATTGTTTCGTGTCCTTTTATTGCATGATTCCCGGCTATCTTTCTGGCTTTGCAGCTATATTCCATTCTGTGCAAATGTGATATTGCATTTGTTTAAATTTGTCCGAATCCTGATACGCGCTGTTACCCCGCAACACCAAGTGCGCAATAAATAGTTTTGTGTCATTTTATGGCATTATTCTCGGCTATATTTCTGCCTTTGCAGTTTTATTCAATTCTGTGCAAATGTGATATTGCAGTTGTTTGAATGTGTCGGAAACCAGATACACGGTACAAGCAGTATTTTCGAATCCATACGCCATGGAGTTTGATTTCCGCATAATCCTCTTTGGGCGTTCTTTTGACAGTTTTGATGAGTTTAGTGGTTTGTTTTCAGACTTTGTGCTTCTTCATTACGTCAATTTCGTATGCTACAGCAGCAGAAAGTGTAACCTGTCGCGGGTGAAGTAAGACAGGGTCATTTATCGATGTGTCCCCTGCGCACGTCGGAAATCAAAAAGTAAAGGAGTGAGACGTGTTTAGTAGGATTTCGCTTCTATTATTCTAAATCTTTCAGCTCACGTGATACTAACTGTCAAGCTCGCGTTAACCTCATTAGAACTTGAAAAGTCACAAAGTTCGATCTGTCTCACAATCACCCAGTTAATCGCCTTCTTTTTGAGCGGCACCCCATCAATCGCCGTCTGACGGACGATGAGTTCACTTAGCCCGTGGACCTTTTTCGCTACAACACCCCAACGAGCGACGTCAAGCAGTTCGTCGAGGTTCGATTCGGGAAGCGTATTATCAGCGATGATGTCCGCAATGTTCGTCGTAAACTGAGACCTGGCGTTGAGTGTACCTTTATTTTGATAGTTTTTATTTCCTGCAGTAAAATTGCCTCAGGTTATCAAGTCTATGGAAGAAGACGGAGTTTGGGATATCGCACCAGGGAAAACGCTTCACCATCGATTGCTCCTTGGGAACATGTATCTGTCCTTTTTATGAAACCATGTGGCTTCCGTGTGTGCATTTTCGGTACTGTATCAAGAGCTATTGCGAATGACTAACGAAGTAATTGGTGATTCGTCAGACTTTCAACTTGCAAAGAAACAACCGCGTTGGCCGAAAATTATGGCGCCCACCGATTTGTGTTTCACATGCAGCAAGCCTGTTGTGATTGACGCAGTTCGCTGTGCGCACAATCGGTTACTTTACCATCGAAAGTGTTTGCGTGTGCAATCAGGAGCCCGTTGTACAATTTGTGTCAATGCTTCACAAACGGTATCTGTGCCCATGCTGGCGGTGCCATGCTGTACTACCGGTAAGAAAGCAACTGTTTACCTCGATATTTAGCTGTTGGCCGTTCACCCTCACCGGATTTCACAGTTGCCTCTACCCCATCAACCTGCCCCGCTTACGAAGGTAAGAGACAGCTTGGTATAACTATTTCCTGCGCTGACAGTCAGGATGAGATTACCGCCGATCCGAGTACAAGTCAACAAACCGTACCCCATATTGCACGTGCACTTGGTACTGGTGATCTATTTCCTTACCTTTCATCGATAGCTTGTCGAAATGGAGCCGTGGAGTTTTCCTCAAACAGAGGTATTGTGCAGAATACAGTGCCAAAGTAAGCTATTCGGTGCAATTTAAACTTCCATTTTCACTTCATTGTAGCGTCGACATGGATGCCAGCCCAGTAAAGAAAACGCAAATAAAAAAATGTTCAGCTAAAAACTCTCGTTCAATTACCCGACAGCAGACTATATGTTCGCACTACTATTACATTTTAGCCGATGAATACGACTTTGTGTAAAGATACCTTGCATGGGACATGCGCGTCCAAGGCACGAATATAGTGAACAAACCTCAACCTTCTCTATCTGCCTTCTGTTAAATACAATGCACAGTTTTTATATCGGTTTCTCCGCTCATTTGGTATTACAGCGTTTTGAACAATGAACTGCACTAGCGGCACGTTTGTTGCCAGTGTAATCGGACCCAGGTCGGTTGTATATAGGCTCTATCAGTGGCACATTTGGTGTCAACGTAATAGGACGCAGTTGGGTTGTGATAGCGTACCGCTCGAAGTTTCCCAGTCGTTGTATATAGGCTCCATCAGTGGCACATTTGGTGTCAACGTACTAGGACGCAGTTGAGTTGTGATAGCGTACCGCTCGAAGTCTCCTGGCCGCTGTATATAGGCTCCATCAGTGGCACATTTGGTGTCAACGTAATAGGACGCAGTTGGGTTGTAATAGTATACGGCTGGTGGTCGTTGTATATAGGCTCCATCAGTGGCACATTTGGTGCCGATGTAATAGGACACAAGTGGGTTGTAATAGCATACGGCTCGTGGTCGTTGTATATAGGCTCCATCAGTGGCACATTTGGTGCCGATGTAATAGGACACAAGTGGGTTGAAATAGCACACCGCTCGAAGTCTCGTGGTCGTTTGGCCGAGAATTGGTAATTGAAAATCAAGTTAGGTTTTGGGTTTGCGGCTACTGCATTGCGTAATTGTAATTAATATGTGGCTTTCCGCTTAGTGTTTACGATATTTTTACCATGAAATTTTCGTTGCTGGAGTTCAAGCGGCGTTGGAAGATATACTGAGTGACCAAAAGGTCGTCCATAAGGTGTACATTTGCACTGCTGAGGGCCAAAAGTCTGGTCATTTAGGGAGTTACAACACTCACACGACGGCACACGCTTTCGCTACTCGAGCCGAAGGGATGCATATTCCGTCAACGTTACGCGCTAATCGAGTATAGACTAGTAAGTACGTACTAACACAGTGACGAATTATTCGTCTCACATGGCGCGCTAAAAGTCACTTGTGCTGACCGAAAGTAAAAAGAAGGAGTTAACGCACTAAACAGCGCCGATAATTATTTAGAATATTAGTTAACAATATCCATGGACATATAAAGACATTTATACTTATCTCCTTTTGCTTCTACGCCAGTGGCCAAAAGCACGCTTCAGTGGGAGGGATTGCTGTACATATGTTTGGATAAAATGCTAATTCATAGCTACAATAATGCTGCATAAGATTCCTATGAGTTTACAAAATCTTCGCTATTAAAGAAGCCACTTAATTATATCTGCTATGATGAATGCACTGCTATGAAACTCCCAAAAACCCAGTGTCACTTATTTCATTATATTAATAATGCGTTTCACATTAACATACCGAGGCTAAAAATATCGGCACAATAGCAGACTAATCAAATAGTCCAGGACGATACTAAAATTAGACGGCTTGAATTTTTAATAAATGGGTTCCGAAACGGTATGCTTGTCTTTTATACCTGGTAGTGAATGATTTCGACTTTAATTGCCAATATTACCTTACTGTTGCGCATATTTAAGGCAAATATAGCTGCATGCATTACACACTTCGATGTTTCTCCATCGATACGTGGGCGCATAGTAACGCCAGTTGGATATTAGCAATTTTGCAGCACAGCGGGCCCAGCTTATTGAGTGGACACCAGTTTGCATTCATTTCAAAACCGTTTTGCTGCACATCTCGTCTGTGTTCTGTTTTGCGTTTAACAACATCTAGACAGGACTCCAAGAAAACGCATAAAAGATAACCCACGGACTAATAACGGACGCTCGTGACAACAAGCTTGTCACAAAAAAAGATTTTACGGTATAAGTTTCGGAAATCCAATGTTTTTAACGGACTTCCAAGACTGCGAATTAGTTAAATGCAGCATCCATGAAAACAGGGGACCTAATTTTGACTTTTAGCATCACAATGCGCTCACTGTGCAATATTAGACCTAAGATTGTGGAAATTTCTTTGTCTAATTAAGTTAGCAAATTTACAGCACTTTACTGTAGTGCGCAATAGTCCGAGTGAAATCCGTAGTAGGTTCGGTAAGCTGAAAAGAGTGAGAGAATGTTAGCTCTCGGATTGGAGTGTCTACAGTGCACAACACAGCAGCCGAACTGGAGAAGAGCGAGAACAGAGCATGCGCCCGGGAATGTGTATTCGCAGAGAGTCAGAGAGCAACAAAGGGGTACAATGGAATCGGTGAGTAACAGTTGATAAAAAGAGTTAATGTTCTGCATCGTTCTTCGGGCTCATTCCACTGTGAAGAGGTACGTACGTAGCACCTGTGAAAAGTGGAGAAAGAGACGTAATATGGTGAGATAAGACACATATGGCAGATACCACTACATCATTCCCCCCCAAAAAAATTGGCGTCGCCCGCGACGCACTCAACAGTCTGTGTTTCGATAACACTAGGGCTAGTCGTAATTTCTACGCATTCTGTTGCAGCTGGGACAGGTGCTTCTGATTCGTTAGGACGTGCTTCGCCTTGGTGGCTCATCGTGGCTGGTTTGAGTCGGTTAAAATGCACCACAAACGATCGACCCCTATCTGTCACTCTGCATGTGAGATCATCATAAACTTCATCCACCACAATCGGTCCGTGCCATACTTTGTGTAACTTCGCTGACGTACCCACAGGTGGAGTGGGGCAGTGCAGATATACCAACTGTCCGGGCTGTACTGGATGGCCATGTACCCGGAGATCATAGTAGTCCTTTTGATGTTTCTGGGCGTTCGCGAGGGAGTCTCTAGCTAGCTGATGTGCCCGAAGTAGATCGTTTCGCAAATTTGTGGCGTATTCCGTTGCCAGTAGTGGATCAGTGGCCAGTCGTGGTAGCGTGAGGTCAAATGGCAGCCGCATCTCTCTGCCGGTAACCAATAGATGTGGCGAGTGACCAGTGGAACTGTGGATCGTTGCACGATACGCCAGGAGACAGTGCGGAAGTGCGATGTCCCATTCTCGAGACCCGTTTTCGTCTGTGAAGGCCTTCAAGAGCGCTTTCAGGGACCGGTTAGCGCGTTCAACTGCTCCGTTCCCCTGTGGGTGGTATGCCGTTGTGCGTGTCTTGCGGATGTTTAAGAGGTGACACATCTCCGATACGATAATGCTCTCAAAGTTTGATCCCCGGTCGGAATGTAGCTGCTCCGGTGCGCCCCAGCGAGTGATCCATTGCTCAAAGATGTTTCTGGCTACCATAGTTGCATTAGTGCACGACAATGGAACGGCTTCACACCACTTGGTGAAGTGATCCACCATAACTAAAACAAAACGATTACCCCTGGGTGTTTCTGGTAACGGGCCCACAATATCGACCGCGACGATTTGATTTGGATATCCTGTCGCTATAGGTTGCAGTGGTGCTCGATGGGGCTGTTGGGGTGGTTTTGCGCGGAGGCACTCTTGACAGCTATTACAGAAATTAACGATGTCTCTCCGCTGATCAGGCCACCAGAACCGCTGACTTACAGCTTCTTCCATTTTTCGCTGACCAGGATGTCCAAGTTCGGCGTGAAGTTCCTTTAAAATAGCGTTGACTCTTGACTGCGGCACTACTATCCGTTTGACATATCCCGAACCATATTGGTAATAAAGTATTTCGTCGTGGATAGTCAGGCGCGACCAGGCTGACCAAATGCAGTGTGCTTCCCAGCTAAAGCCTGCCATCTCAGCTCTCGAAGGCTTGATTCCGTCGGTGACCAGCCGGTGGTAGATAAGTTTTAGCTCTGGATCATCCTTCTGCAAGGTAGCCCACTCCGTGCTGTCTGAGTTGTCAAGAGAAACGATGTCTATCCGATGTTGGGAGCATGAAGGGCAATTGATGTGGTGTTTTCCGCCACGTCGAGACAAAGCATCTGCATTGCAGTGCTGTCGGCCAGGTCTGTGGATACACTCAAAATTGTACTCTTGCAACAGTTCTTGCCACCGAGCGACTTGACCTTCTGGGTCGCGGAAGCTCTGTAGCCATTTGAGCGCTTGATGGTCAGTTCTAACGACAAACCGTTGACCAAGTAAAAGATGTCGAAAATGTTTAGTATAAACCACTAACGCCAGCAGTTCTTTGCGTGTGACACAGTAGTTGCGTTCTGGTTTGCTCAGGCACCGGCTTCCGTACGCAATCACGTGTTCGAGTCCATCGGATCCAACTTGGGACAGAACGGCGCCGATTCCGGTGTCGCTCGCATCAGTGTCAAGGATAAACTGACCAGCCGAAGGGGAGAGGTCAGGAAACGATAGGATCGGTGAGTTTGTGAGGGCCCGTCGCAAGAATTCGAATGCTTTAGCGCACTGAGGCGTCCAGTTGAATGTTCTTCCTTTCTCCGTTAAGCGGTGCAAAGGCCCAGCTATGTCGGCGAAGTTTCGAATGAAACGCCTGTAGTAAGATGCTAGCCCCAGGAACTGGCGTACATCCTCGGCGGAGGTCGGGACCGGCCACCCTTGGATAGTCTCGACTTTGCTTGGGTCACTCTGGATCCCAGAGGGCGTAATGATGTGCCCCAAAAATGTAACTTGTCTCTTAAGTAATTGACACTTCTGTGGTTTCAACTTTAACCCAGCATCATGTAAGTGTTGCAGCACCAACCCGAGGTTGTCTAGATGTTCTTCTAACGAGCGGCCGTGTACAATTACGTCGTCTAGGTACACTAGACACTGATTGGGAATCAAGGTTCTAAGTACAATCTGCATCAAACGCTGAAACGTAGCTGGAGCGTTGGTCAGTCCAAATGGCATGGTTTGAAATTCGTAAAGACCAGAGGGTATGATGAATGCGGTCTTTTCTCTATCTTTTGGGTCGATTTCAACCTGCCAGTAGCCAGAAGCTAGATCAAGCGTAGAAAACCATTGAGCTCCGCTAAGGGCCTCCAAAGTGTCGTCAATACGGGGCAGGGGAAATGAGTCCTTACGTGTCACGTCGTTGAGTTTCCTATAGTCTATGCACAGCCTAAGAGATCCGTTCTTCTTTTTCACAAGGACTATTGGAGATGACCACGGTGACTTCGATGGGATGATGATCTTGGCGTCTAACATATCTTCAATCATTTTTCTCAGTTCCTCACGATACTGGGTAGGGACACGACGAGGTCTCTGTGTTATCGGTTCAGCTGTGCCGGTGTCGATTTGATGGCAGATAGTGTTGGTGCGACCTGGTAAGGACCCTTCCCATGCAAAAGCTGCTTCCTTACTCCGAATCAGTTGGTGCAATCTCCTGAACGCCGTGCTTGGGATGATGCCTTCTACGGGTGTCAGAAGTGTTCGTACCTGATCATCGATAGTCATGCATGCAGCTGTTGGACCATCACTATCATAACTGTTATGTTCCCACATACGTAATTTGCATTCTCCAATCCAAAGCTGATTTGTTGCCATATTCAAGTGACACTTCATTTTCCTAAGTAGATCGATGCCGAAAATTGCATCCCACGGTATGTGGGAGGATAAAACAACGGAGTGGTGTACCGTGCAGTTGCCCAAGACCATAGCTGCCATGACTCTGCCCTCGGCTACTAACTCACTGCCATTAGCTGTCAAAAGGCGAGTGTTAACGTTTGATCGCCGAAGCCCTAAACAGAACTTAGGTTGTACCAAAGTGCATGTAGCTCCAGTGTCAATCAAGGCAAGAATTGAAATGCCGTTAATACTAGCTCTAATGAGTGGTTGGGAGTGATGATTACTGTGATGTATAAAAGGCACGACGAGAGACTCACCCAAGTTGGAAGGCGTGAATTGTATGTTGTGTCGTGTGTTCCGTAGCGGTCTGGTGAAGCTCGAACGACTGTTGTGGCCGCACTTACGGGCCATTTTTCCAAACCTCTGGCAAAAGTAACAGCCCCCGGGATCTGCTCTACTGATGGCATCTAAGTGTTGGCCGGCTGGAGGCGGATGTAGACGTGATTGCTCAGTGGCCAGAAACATGCATTCAACGGAATTAGGTTTCTCCGGAATTCGGGCGGCAGCGGCGTATTCTCGGGCAATGAGTACAGCATCCTCGATCGACAGAGGTGGTTTGCGCGCGAAACGTCGACGAGTTGCCAGGTCCGCAATCCCTTCAACGAACCTTTCCAGAACAAATTCGCCTCGGATGTTGGCCGAACGTGTGGGAAACGCATGGGAGGCTAGCAGCAGAAGATCGGCTGAGTATGCGTCTACCGACTCTCCCAATCTCTGAGTTCTTGTCCAAAACTGGTGCCGTGCGTCCGAACGTCCCTCTGCGTGTGGGAAGAGTCTCACCAGATCAGACCACACAGCTTCGACATCTGCATCGGGGGGAAGGCCAATCGCCGTCAGCACATCCCTTACTTTATCGTCTAGGAATGACAAAACGTAACGACCCTTAGATTCCGCTGGAACAGGTATTAGGTAAGTGTCCATTCGCGCTCTCCAGGTCGAAAGATCCATTCCAACACAGAATTTTGGAGGTGGCAGAATTGATGGCAGGACATGAGTGACACAACTTTGCGTATTTCCGTCTGATTTCACAATAGGAGGATTGGGGTTCTCGTCTTTAGAGGAGCGGGACTTGGAAACTGCTCGCGACGCCATATTTGTAGTGCGCAATAGTCCGAGTGAAATCCGTAGTAGGTTCGGTAAGCTGAAAAGAGTGAGAGAATGTTAGCTCTCGGATTGGAGTGTCTACAGTGCACAACACAGCAGCCGAACTGGAGAAGAGCGAGAACAGAGCATGCGCCCGGGAATGTGTATTCGCAGAGAGTCAGAGAGCAACAAAGGGGTACAATGGAATCGGTGAGTAACAGTTGATAAAAAGAGTTAATGTTCTGCATCGTTCTTCGGGCTCATTCCACTGTGAAGAGGTACGTACGTAGCACCTGTGAAAAGTGGAGAAAGAGACGTAATATGGTGAGATAAGACACATATGGCAGATACCACTACATTACTAACCGTATTGCTAAGCATTCGAATCGGCGGCAAACGGTTAATAGCTTTTTAGCACACTAAAACACAGTTTTAAGGTTACACTAGATTAAAATGCCAGAGTCTAGAGGTCAATTGTTTCACTTCCGTCTGACCAATCAACAAACGTCACCATCTTTAAAGTACCCTGCTAGGACTGCGACTACCGGGCAGCCTTATCGTTAGGTCGCTCCGACTGCCGGAGGCCGTCTATCCCCGCCGTGACTCGATGGCCAGAAGCTTCTGGCGGGGCTCACATTAGTAAGTTATTTGCTTTTACTACCTAATTAAGTTTCTTTGCGCTTATGTTATACAAAATCAACGCGTTATTCCTCGTCGGTGCGAGGCTCAGTCCAACATAATGACGACTTCGAAACTCTGATGCCGTGTTTACGACGTATGCAAATCTTGTATGGCCGATGTTGTCTGCACGGCCCCCTTGGGTCCTGGTGCCTGACTGCTAGACGCGACAGAAATCCATGGTGGGGGCAAGTACTGCGTATTACTAAGGACATCAATGACCCGGGTATCGACGGGGACTTACTGCAATTTCAAGTTCATTTGGGACCGGAACCATAGGATAATGGCGTGAATGTCCCTACTTTTGCGTATCGTCGGATCGGATTTATAGGTCCACTTGAGCTGTTGAAATGCCTAAAACAGAGGCCGCATCACACCCTGTCCAACCAATTACTGCCCACATTTTCCTGCCCAGCAGTTCCCGCCAGGCCGATTTATGTGGAGTAAAGGAGTGAAGAGTAAGTTAAGAAAACAAGAGGATGCAAGTCAGCTAGATAATGATAATACTGTGGTGTGAGAATAAATTAAAAAACCGAGGGAAATTTAAAGATACAAGTCGGTTAGGAGGTGAAGTTTTGATATCGCCACTCAAGAGCAGCTAACTGACGCTCGAAACCCTCAACCGTAGTCTCCCTAACGACATACTCCAGAAGCGAGTTCCAATCTTCAATAACTCGGCGCTACAAGCGAGTTTCCGTCTTTACTCCGTCAGAACGCATTTTGTGCAGCTTCAACGGGTGACCTCGGAGAATAGGCAGGTTGGCGTGACTAAACAGCCAGGACAAGTCTGGATCGGCCTTACCCGTTAAGATACGGTGAGGATCAAGTCTCCTAATTCTGCGGTAGTGTATTGAGTACATACCCAAGCTAAGCAAACCTTCGGAATATGTTTACCCCCGTAATCCTTGCACTAACCTTGTACCAACTCGCAAAACCCTTTCCAGTTCCATTTTGTCCTTTATAGGACAAGGTGGGTACAGTACTCTAAGTGGGGTCGCACGAAAGCTGAGAACAGCTTCGCAAAAATATTGGCTGTTAGGACACCGAAGAAGCGGCGGATAAACCGCATCATACGGAACTCTCTACAAGCAGCCTTCCTCCAATTGTCCCCAAAGTGTAATAATGAGGTGTGAGTGATACCTAAATCAACCCGCTAAGTGAAAACAGGGATTTCACTTCTACCAACTACATAGCGCGTGGGAGGACTAGCACCTCCAATGCGGAGGACAGAACATTTCGCCTGATTTATAGGCGTCAACCATAAGGTTGACCAGTCCCGGAGCCTATCCAAGACACTCTGAAGCGCCTCAGAGCCACCAGGGATATCCACAATATTCCAGAGCTTGATGTCATCAGCAAACAATAGCGACGATATTTCGTGCTCCTGGGTAGGTCATTGACAAATTACGAAAAACAACGGCCCTAGAACCAAGCCCTGCGGAACGCCACTAGTAACAGCTTGTCTAAGCGAAAGACTACGCCCAACGCGTACGCAGTTCTCTCCCCTCTAGGAAAGCAGACACACATTTAAGAGCGGCTCCAGGTATCACATACGATCTCAATTTCAATGAGAGTTGTTGACCTAGGACAGTATTAAAGGCTTTCGGGAAGTCAACGAAAAGCACGTCGATAGTCTGCTTGTTGTCTGTTGCCTCAGCTCAGCTTTCACGAGCTACAAGTAAATTTGTCAAACATGAAAATTCTTTATGGAATCCGTGCTGTGCCGCACTGAGAAGGTTAAACTTAATCAGGTGATTCTCCACCGAATTCATGACCAATTTTTCAAATAACAACTACTACGCTTGTCAAGTTGACAGGCCGGTATTTCGCGGACAGAGCTCTGGCGCCGCCCTTAAAACTCGGACAGATGATTGCCTCCCTCCATTCCTAAGGAAAGGCACAACTGTCAAGCGATATTGTAAACATGCATGTCAGAGGGTCACTTAGCTCAGCGGCCAATTCATGCATCAGCTTCGGATGAATTGAATCAGCCAGAAGCTTTAGGGGGATTAATGCCTTGCAATAGCCGGAAGACTTGTGTCTCCGTTATGCTGATTTCAGTTAGGCAAGGATCCTCCGGGACTTTTGTGACCAGCTCAACCTGAGATAGAGAGGCCTTAAGAGAAAAGACACCAGTATACTGTTCACTAAATATGCAAGCCTTATTATAGTCGATATGCCTACTGGTCACGTCCGCTCCTAGTAACGCCGGTATAGACGAGTTTTCGCTGTTGCGTCTCTTTACGTAAGCAAAGAACTTTGGATTTGTTGCGGCTACGTTAGCCAAATCTTCCCCGTACTGAAGACGAAGAGTTCTAAGATGTTGCTTACATTTATTTCTAACCGCCCTGTGTTCCCTCTTCAAACGCTTTTGATTTCGATCTTTTGAAGATGGTTCTGGAATGTAATTTATCCTAACATATCACAATGCCTACTCGTATAATTGCAGGACAAACCCCTTATATTCTTTCCGGCACAATTAGATGTCACCGACCTAGCCGTTCTTCAGACCATTGGTAAAAGTGATCACTGTATGATCTCATTCCTCTGGGCTCGACGCCTTACTATCCACAACCAAGGTAGCCTCCGCAGAGATTTCTGGCGTGCTGATCCCCAACGCCTACTAACGGCCGCCAGTGCTGTGTGCTGGAGTCTACCCGAATCCCTGTACCTGGATGACTTGTGGAGCCTCTTGTACTCCAAAATGCTTTCGCTCGTTGAGCAGGTCCTTCCTGTCCTCAAAAGCAGACCTTTTGTCTGTGGTCCTCCAGGGATGGCTCGAGAACTGAGGGGCCTAATGAACAAAAGATGGAAATTGTGGGTCCGATTCAACCTCACACACTCCGAGTCTGACTATTCTGACTATAAAGTGGCCAGGAATACCTGCAACTTGAAGTAACGAAATAAACGGCATAAGTTCGAACTTGGTTTGTCTGTGCAATCCAAGATGACTCCCAAGACACTATTCTCTCACCTGAAGAGAAGTACCAGAGCAGGCAATGGCATTCCTACCCTGTATTCATTAGAGCATGTCGGTATACTTGACGATGACGCTGCGAACGCCAGCCTCCAGTCCATGCACTATACATCAGTTTACACGATGGTGACGCCGTTACCCAGTGACGCGGCGTTGATACACCCCTCTCCGTTGGAGCACGTAGAGATGAACGCTGATGTCGTTGCCAAAAGCATTCGTGCATTAGATCTGAATTCCTCTCCGCGTCCTGATGGGTTACATCCGCTGCTCCTCAAGACTAGCCGATTACATTGCTGCTCCTGTTTGTCGGTTATCTCACCATTCCCTTGGAGTTGGACGGCTTCCGATTGCTTGGAAAGTGGGAATTGTTGAGCCCATACACAAGGGATGAGATCTGCAAAATTCTGCCAATTATCGACCTATCTGTTTAACGTCAATATTATGCAAGGTAATGGAGAGGATTTACAAGCTGGCACTTCATCTTCACATCGAGAACTTAACAGTCATCTCTTATGCGCAGCATGGTTTTCGGTGGGCACTCTCATGTTCTTCGAATCTGTTTGTTGCCCGGGAAACTTGGGCGAAATCATTAGACGCTGGGAAACGCCTGGATGTTGTTTTTGTCGACTTCAGCAAGTCGTTTGACAAGGTTTCTCGTGTAGGACTGCTTTATAATCTACGAGGAATCGCTGTTCCTGAGAATGTTCTCTCTTGGATCACAGCTTTCTCGGATGACCGGACAATGCGAGTCAGCGTGAACGAGACTTATTTTGCTCCTGTGCTCATGGCTAGCGGTGTCTTGCAGGGATCAGTCATTGACCCAGAAATTTTGAAGATCATCAATGACCTACCGTCGGAAATTCAGTCGGGGTGTTTGATTTACGCTGACGACTTGAAGCTGTAGATGAAGCTATCTTGTCTTGACGATGCGGACAGATTACAGGTTACATTTGCTACGTTACATGTGTGGTCAGTTAGGTGGCGATTGCCCATAAGTCGCGATAATTGCTCGGTTCCCCCCATTGATTCTCCTGAGCCTTCCGGGACGTGCCACATTGGTGGGGCGTTTCTCAGAACCTCAATCATCGGAAAAGACCTCGGCGTGTTGGTGTCATCTGATATACGGTCTACGCAGGACACGTTACGAAGGGTTACTGCTGCCAAAAGGATGTCCCTTGTCTTACGAAGAACCTCGCGTTTGACTCCGGATATCCATCATCATCAACAGCAGTACATCATCCATTTGAACTGATGCTTCGCTGCCATACAACTATGAGGATTTATGAAATAAATAATAAGAAGAGGGAGAGAAAGGGGGATTTACCTGAAAACATTAATGCCCTAAGCAAACATTCGGGGTCAAGGCGCCTACACCTTGTGTAGACAACATACCGTCACAAAGAGCTGGCTATCGTGCAAAGATAAGGCGGCATCGACGAGACAGCTTCCTTGCGGCTTTCACTGCCACGCGTCCTAACCAGCCATTACCT